GACTTGTCAGTCTGTCAAGGCTCGGAGCCCATCGCGCCCCCGTCAGGTCTCAACGCACTGCAGTCGGGGTTCCCGGTAAGCTGGGCACTAGGGCAGCCCCTCCGGGAGAGATTCAGATGCTTCCCAGCTGATTAGCACAGCGCCCACAGCCGGCAGCCTGTCTCTCTATGGGCGAGGCAGAGGGAGCGCAGCCGCCGGTCCCGCTCACTTTTCCACGGGTGGAATCCGTTTTGTGATGTGCACGGCGTCAAAGTCCTACGATGTCCAGTCCAGAGGGCTCTCAGTCGGGCCCCTCTCCTCTGCGCCCGGCTTGGGGGGGGGGGGGGCTGATAGTTACTCCCCCCACGTCTCACCCCCTCCTTGCTTTGCCTTTCAGAAAGACTTGACCTACCTGCAGCAGTGGCTGGAGGCGTTTGTGATGAACTTTGAAAATATCATCGGGGTGCAGTCTCTGGACCCGAGACGGTGAGTCTGTCTTCCCCCTCGCGGGACTGGGTGGGGGTCCGTCCACCGAGTGCAAACACGAGACGATCCTGCGGGCAGGGAAAGAACCCAACTCGAATAGAACCAGCTCTCCCGTGTGCGGAATGAGCCGGTTTCTCTGCCAAGGGGCAAGGCAGATCCCTAGCTAATGGTTTTCTTTAACCCCCCGTGAATTGAACGGTGCCGGAATAATCGCGCTTCGGGCGACTCCTCTGAACCCCCGCAGATAAGGAGAGCCCGGGGCTGAGACGCAAAGCCAGATGCGTTCAGCCGAGTGGCACGTCAGGCTGGTTTTAGCTGCGCCGGTAACTGACCATTCCCCAGGGAGGTGGAAGATTCTCCGTCGCTTGCCAGCTTTGTAAATAGCCGCCAGCTGAACCAGACGCGCAAGAGGGGCGTGGTGGAGGACGTGTCGCTGACTTTCTCCCCCCTACGATGGTGGAGGTCAAGCGGGATGATTACAACAGGCTCTTCCAGCCCTTACAATGAAACCAACAATAAACTGTGATGAGCAACGGCACACGCTGCGGTGGGACCAGAACATTCCTCTGGGCTGGTCTCTCGAACAAGCCTTCGCTTGGTCCTAATCTGACCATTTTCTGGGGGCTGAGGCTCGTAGCTGAGGGCCTGCTCGGATTTTAGTTGTTCTTTTGAGGCCACCCGGCAGGGAGCTGGTGAGTGCCACCTGGTTATAGTGGTAAAGTGGATACTGTCCTTCCAGGGCCTGCTCGGAGACGCCCCATATCCATTGCTGCCAGCGTGAAACCAAGCAGCAGCAGCACTCGAGCCATCTGTTCACGCTGAGTCCGGCACCTGGGAAGTACATAAGGCCAGAACATAAGAGTGGCCACACTGGGCCAGACCAAAGGTGCATCTTGCCAGTGTCCTGTGTTTCAACAGTGGCCTATGTCAGGTGCCCCGGAGGGAACAGAATGGGGAATCATCCTGTGACCCCTCTTCTGTCGTTCATTTCCAGCCCCTGACAAACAGAGGCTGGGGACACCATTCCCACCCAGCCTGGCCAACAGCCATTGCTGGATCTATCCCCCACGAATTTACCTAGTTCTCTTTTGAACCCTGTTAAAGTGCTGGTCTTCACAACACCCTCTGGCAAGGAGTTCCACAGGTTGCGGGAAGAAAAACTTCCTTTTAGTTGTTTTACAGCTGCTGCCTATCAACTAGAAGGGTTACCCCGTGAAATTCTTTTGTTATGGGAACAAGTAAATAACTTTCCCTTCTTTACTTTCTCCACCCCAGTTCTGATTTTGTAACCCTCTCTCATATCCCTGCCTTAGTCCCCTCTTTTCTAAGCTGAAAAGTCCCTGTCTTTTTAATAGCCCTTTGGCAGCTATTCCAAACCCCTCATCATTTTTGTTGCCCTTTTCTGAACTTTTCCCAAGCGCAAGAGATCTTTTTTGAGATGAGGCGACCACATCTGCATGCAGTATTCATGAGGTGGGCAACCCATGGATTTATACAGAGGCAATAAGCTATTCTCTGTCTTCCCTATCCCTTTTTTAATGACTCCTACCATTGTTTGCTTTTTTGACTGCTCGGAGTGGATGTTTTCAGAGAACTCTCCACCGTGACTCCAAGGTCTTTCCCTCGGGGGGTCATTTCATTCATTTAGTCCTTGTCATTTTGTACGGCGAGTTGGGATGATGTTTTTCAACGTATCATCTTCTTGGCGGGTATCAACATTAAAATGCCTTTGCTATTTTGTTGCCCAGTCATCTAGTTTTGTGAGAAGCTCTTCCCAGCCTGCTGGCACTGTAGCTAGTCAGAGCCTCGCGTCCTCCTCCGCCCCAGGCATCCCTTCTCCTGCAGGAAGAGCTGCGTGACCTTGCCTCGTGGTCCTGGATATTAGCATGGGGGCATCGTTGTGCTCGGTGTGTTACCTGCAAGGGAGGTGTCTGCCCCAGCAATCTTCCAGTAACCATGAATCTAGCAAGGATCCACAGGAATGGACGTTCCTCTCCGGCTCCACGGCTAGCTGCTGTTGCCTGGAAGCCGAAATGGACGTGTGCTCCTGGGGTGGGCGTGTTTCCGTGCCTGTTCTGCGACCTGGAGGCGCCTTCTCTCTGGATGGGGCGTGCGGGAGCGTGGGATTGGACTGCAGACTCAGTAGAAGAGCGTTCTACAGGGCAGGCCTGAGGATGTGCCTGATTGTCTCCTGCCTCCAGGGGAGAGTTCCCCTTGCTCCAGCTTCGGGGCTCTCGAAAACCTCCTACGAGGGCAGAGTTTCTCCAGAAGCAGCAGCCCAGGATTGAGCTGTTCTGTGCCGGGAACGGGGCAGCAGGCGGAAAGCGCGCGACGCTTGCAGCAATCCCCCGAGAGCCCGTGGAGTCCGTTGTCCGCGTTCTCCGGGAGGGGTGCAAATCGTGTGGCTCACCTGTCGCTGCGGGACCACGGCGCAGGTAGCTCTAGCTGGTGCAGCTTTCCTTTGCGCGGCTGCAAACGCTCTGCTCTGGCCCCGACCCCTCTGCTACTCCAGTCTTGGGTCCCGACAATTCTCCTGCCTAAAGATCTGACTCATCCCTCCCTAAGCCGTGCTCTGTGCTGGGAGCCCAGAAAGAAAGCCAGGCTCCAGATATCAGCTCTATTTAGCAAGTCTCTCGCCCCGCCCATTACCAATCATCTAATCGCTGCACTAGGGTGGCATTCGCGGCTGCTCTCCGGCCGGCGTGACTCGGGCAGAGCGCGCCGGCAGTGGCGTTGTGAACCATCGCACGATGCATTCGTTCAGGCCTGCAATCGCGTTGGGTGAACGCGCTATGAGGAGAGGAGGGGTGGGATTTAGGGCGTGCGAGTCTTCTGCGTCATGATGCTGCTGTTTGCCGTGCAGGCGACCAGCCCTCCCTGCTCGGGCGTGGCCTTTTGCTTGAGTTTTATGCCCTGAAGCATGGGGATTGATACGGGGCTAACTTACATGAGCGAGTGTCAGTGCGGATTCATGCAGGCAGCCACAACAGGGCTCTTAGGTTCCTGTCCTGGGTGAGGGGAACTGTTTTTGGCAGTGGATCGCTGACGTAGGAATGACCATGTGTAGAAACCTTTGCTTGCAGGTTTTACCGCCTGCTCCTCCGTCTCCCCCTGCCTGTGGTTAGCACAGGCACAGGGTCTATTTCCACATCCCTTCGCAACGTTTTGTCCGCGCGCTGCAATGGAACAAGCTGTCCTCGTGTCTTCCAACCTGCAATGCAATTTCCTGGTGGCTTCCCTCCTCTCGTAGGGGTGGGGCGGGAAGGCAGAGGGCTCAGTGTGGTACGGGGAACGGCGGTGGCCGCGAGGCGCTTTCCCTCTGCGGGGAATTTGTCACCTTCTGCAGCGGGGGGGCTGTCAGTTGGGTTTCCTTGTGCAGACTGCAGCGGCTCATCTCCATCTCTAATAATATACTATATGGAGTCAAGTATCAGAGGGGGAGCCGTGTTAGTCTGAATCTGCAAAAGCGGCAAGGAGTCCTGTGGCACCTTATAGACTAACTGAAGTGTAGGAGCATAAGCTTTCGTGGGCAAAGACCCACTTCGTCAGATGCATGTAGTGGAAATTTCCAGAGGCAGGAATAAATATGCAGGCCAGGATCAGGCTGGAGATGAGGAGGTGGATCCAATCAGGGAGGATGAGGCCCACTTCTAGCAGCTGATCTGGAGGTGTGAATACCAAGAGAGGAGAAGCTGCTTTTGTAGTTAGCGAGCCATTCACAGTCTCTGTTTAATCCTGAGTTGATTGTGTCAAACTTGAGCTGTAGCTCAGCAGTTTCTCTCTGAAGTCTGGTCCTGAAGTTTTTTTGCTGCAGGATGGCTACTTTTAGATCTGCAATTGTGTGTCCAGGGAGACTGAAGTGTTCCCCTACTGCCGTGGTCCCCAACATGGTGCCCGCGGGGGCATTTGTGTGCGCCCGCCACGTGCTCGGGGCTGGCCTGGCCCTGGGCATGTGGTGCATGCACAGTGCCAGAGCCGGCTCCAGGCGCATGATGAGCACCGGCCCCGGGCGTGCGGTGCTTGGAGGAGGGGGGGGTGCACGGAGCTTGTGGGGGGAGGGGGCGCCGGCCCTGGGCATGGAAGGCGTGGCTATGGGGGGCGAATGGCCATGCCCCCTGGTGCCTGGCAACCTCCACAGGTTGGGGACCACTGCCCTACAGGTTTTTGTAGGTTGCCATTCCTAATAATAATACTATATGGAGATATAGGATCTCATAGAGCTGGAAGGGACCATGAGAGATCATTGACTGTAGTCCCCTGTGCTTGTGGTAGGACCCTGACAGATTTGCCCCAGCTCCCTAGATGGCCTCCTCAGGGATTGAACTCACAATGCTGGGTTTAGTAGGTCAATGCTCAAGCCACTGAGCTATGCTCCCCCCCACTGCTTTGGAGCAGTGATCACCACCCAATAGATCGGGATCTGCTACTAGATCTTGCAGCCTTAGACGGGTGATCATGACAGGTTTGGCTGGGAAGCTTTCAAGTGCCAGCACTTCAGCTGCCCCTCTCAGCACGGCTGTGCTGCTCCTGCGCTCTGCCTTGGAGGGGTCTCTCACTCCCGGGAGCCTCCTGCTTGCTGTGCAGGGGATGGGAAGAAGAGGAAGCGGGGGCAGTGCTGGTGTCAGGGTGCCCCTCCCTCCACCCTGTACCCCATCTCCACAGAGCAGAGGGGGGCAAGGATGAAGAGTTTGCTGGCTGCTTTTGGGAGCGGTGCAGGGCCAGGGTGGGGTGAGCCTGCCTTTAGCCCTCGGCACCACCACCCAGGAACCACCTGTGGTAAGCGGAGCCCAGCTGGAGCCTGCATTCTGAACCCCTTCCCCAGTCCTGAACCCCTTCTGCACCCCAAATCCCTGCCCCTAGCCTGATGAAAGTGAGGGAGGAGGGAGTGAGCAGAGGCGGGGCTCCGGAGAAGGGGCAGGAAGGAGGCGGGACAAGGATGTTTGGATTTGAGGAAGATCCTGGACTGCACTTAAATTAAAGTGATCTCTAGCCCTCGGCAC